AAAAAGATTAGTGCCGTATCGAATTTTTAAAATAATATAAAACTCTCTCTCCGTATTTAAGTACAGTAAATACTGTTGTACGGAACATGCGGAATAACAAAACAAAACATTTTTTGCGATGATGTAGTGATATTTAATCACTAAAACAATTTTATGTGTGCTTGTTTGTTTTGCTTTGTTATTTTTTTTGTCCCAGTTAGCTCTCCGGTGTTAAACAATCCATACGTACTTCTATCCCATGTACCTATATTTTTACATTCAAAAACATTTTGAGGAATGATGCTATTGCTAAGATGTAGACTATGCCTTGGAAACTCATTGAGCCCCCAAGCGAACCCCTAAATCCAAGGACTAAAACTAAAATATCATTACATTTTGCCCGATTTAAAATTCCATTACCCTCAACTGTCAAATATTTCTTATGAATGGTAGCATCATCATTTTTTCTGTCTTAAAATGTGGACCTTATACCTGAGCAATATAATAAATATCCATCGGATGCCACTATTATCATCGGTTTCATGGCCGTAGGAACCGGAGGGGGAGCACGGAGTCCCCCCCCCCCTATAATTTTGCTGATATATAGAACACTATAGAAAACATAGCTACCATACACTTGTGCTCTTTCAATAATTACGTCTGATGCCCCCCCCCCCTTTTTTTTCTTGTCAAGGAATTTTTGGTAGTTGATAGTCCCCAAACTGAAAATGTATGGCTGTGCCCCATAAACTAAAATTGCTTCCTACGGGCCTGGGTTTTACCAAAATAGGAATTTTATACATACCTAAAGAACTCCTTTGAAAAGTATATATTGAACTCTTTTGAAATCAATATAGATGTATGTTTTAATTTAAAGAATATTTTGTTAAGAAAAGTAAATGGAATTTAGTAGAAGGGTCAGCCTATTTTAGCTCTCTCCCTACATAATTGATATAAAATATACAAAGCAAAAATGTAGAAAATGTACCAAAAGGAAGGGATGGGGAGAAAAAAATACTAGTAAGTAAAATTACAGAGAAAAATAAGCAAAATTACAGAAAAAATACCGGTTTGAAAATATTCAAAAAAGTTAAATTTACTTACAAAATAATGAATATTTTAGCAATATTTGGCACTTCTAAAAATACTGGTCAGAAAAAATAATTCGATGTTGATCAATTGGAAATGTAACGGTCTGAACTGCTAATCGGAGCTAAAGCCACGTGATTTATTGATTTTTTTGTATTCACAAAGTTACCTGAGTCTACAAATCACGTGATAAATTGGAATATTTAGCAGGTCATAATGAGGTCAGTTGTATGCAAATTCCCGTGAATAGTGAAGGAAACGGTGGCTGTTTTGTACCTTTTTTCAAAAAGTTTACCCCGAGCGCAGGCTTGCCCAAAATTCTCCTTTAAATATGATGAATTTCCAACAGTTATACACCTTCTGTCCTTTTGAGAAATTTGGGCAACAATGCGCTCAAAATGTATTACGGCTTTAAAAATCGGAATAACTTTGAATATCAATGGAGATTCGTGAATTGCAGTGACCCCTCTTACAAAACACAGCTTCGTTCTTTATTTTTATGGACTTTTAATTCCTGTAATTTCGCAAAGTTGCGATTTAGACATAGAAGAATCGCACTATTCATCTCATTGGGCTATTTTCTATATTTTTGCGCAATTTACCGGGGGCCACGTTTTGTACACTAAGTGCAATCATTCTTTTGTATATAAGTAGGTACTAAATTATTGTACATTTTATACATTGTTATTAGTTTTTCTCTGTTTCATCTGTATTACAAAGGTTTCCAACCTGTTTTCAAATATAATGGACTTCTTGAAGCAAAAATTGTAAGCTCAGAAACTATTCTTGCAGCAAAAAATTGAACTTTTTCAAGATTTTCAATGTCTGTCTTTATGCATCCAGACCAAATTTCAACAGCATATTCTAGTTTTGGCCTAATAAAAGATATATACATCTAGGATGAAATATCTCTTGACACAGTAAATTTTAGTTTTTTAGTAGCCCCAGTTTTTTGTACGCTTTCTTTATAATGATATCAATATGATCAGACCATCCTAAGCTGGAAGACAGTAGTATCCCAAGATGTTTGTGCTCTATATGATATTCTATTTGGCAATTGTCAAAATAATTTAGGAAACTGCTGCACATTTTTTAAATGAAAAAAATACAGATTTGGTTTTCTGTGGGTTAAATTTCAATAACCATTTCTTTGACCATTCATTTAGTATTCTAAGATCATGATTAAGATTTTGCTCAATATGATTAATATTATCTGAACAAATAGTTGTAACGAATTATCATCAGCATATAGTCTACAAACAGATATCATATTTTCAGCCACATCATTTACATATATTAAAAATAACAAGGGACCGAGTACTGAGCCCTTGGGAACTTTTACTCGTCCCACAGAGGAAAAAAGATGTCTATACATAACTTGTTGTGTTCTATTGCTTAAATAACTATCAAACCAATCTAGCATATCACCATTGATTCCATACATTTTTAGATTGTAAATTAAGCCTTCATGCCAGACTCTATCAAATGCCTTGGATAAATCATAAAACACCATACAGCGGAATTTACCTTCATCAATGCTTTTTACTTTAGAATGGTATATTTCTAAGAGTTGATATACTGTGGAAAGGCCTGTTCAAAAAAAAACCTGCTTGATATTTATGAAAAATATTATGTGAATACAGGTAATTGTATACATGTTTAAAAATAATTCTTTCAAATATTTTGCTTATACAACTCAACAAAGAGCCTGTTCTATAATTTGAAGTGATAGAAGGGTCATCTTTCTTAAATAGCGGAAGAACATGAGCTAATTTCTATGGTGTTATGAAGTGTATCCAGAGTAGTGCAATAAATGCTTTTATAAATTATAATTTTTATTCAAAAATGGCTTGGTTGGCTATGTCGTTGCTTATGATATTTTTTTTTTAAAGGAATACATGTTAATCAATAAATCTTTTTTAAAATGGTAGTTTAAAGTCATTATTTTCTACCTCCTCTATTTCGTACCGTTTTGGTACCACCTAGATATTTTCATTCTTTCATTCTAATGAACGATTTCCAATATATACAGATCCCTTTTCTTAATCATATTTAACATACTTCTTGTGCAGCAGTCATTATGTCCTGCCACTTCATTGATCAAACTATTTTGTTCACATAAAGAGAGGCTTAATGTCAAGATTAAACAGAGCCTCTCCCGTCAATTACGAAAAAACTACCTGTACCACTTTTGTTCTATTAACAAAACTTCGGACCAAAAGTATACGTGATAAAGAGTTATGAAAGGCTTTTGAAAAGCTATGTAAATATTGTTAAATTTCTATTTACATAAGGCTCGGGTAAGTTTAAAATAAAGAAGAAAAAATCCGAGCGAGATTCTTGTTCATGTCTTCAAAAAATACATAATGACCAATTTTGACAAAAATATAGTTTGATTATTCAAGGATTGCAATAACTAACACAGTTTTCCCGTTGTCTTAGGACGTGAAATGTTTGACTTCACTGAACGTTTCAGCTAAGTATGTATGACTGACATCTAATGACTGACTCAATATGAAAAGCAGATCCTTAAATTAAGTTCTGCTCCCAATTTATATTGTTCCAATGAGCTTTTAAGCTTGCTTACTGTTCGTTATTTTGATATTTCATCTTGGCATAAAGAGGCGTAACTTTGATTAATCCTAGTCAAACCGGTTACATTAGTTGTTGCAAAAGAAAAAAAAGAAATTGAATGATTATATGAAAAATATGATCGAGGAAAAAGGGTGTCAACATCTATTATTATTTATTTATTCATACATCTTATCGCATTTCAACAATAACATATAATACAAAATATTACATATAATGGCATTGTATAGCAGTCTTCATAGATTACATATATGTAATGCAATAGAACAATAATGATTTCATGGAGAATATCCATATGTACAAATTTAAAAAACAGATGACTTCTTGATATATTTTTACGAAGCTTTTCAAAATGTGGACAAATTAAAACAAAATGGTATTCATCCTCTATATCACTTTTACACATTCTGCACATTCTACTCTCCCTAGGTATTTTATTATGTCGTCCTGTCTCAATTTCCAGATTATGATATGAGAGCCTGATTCGACTAATTTCCTTTTTGTACATGGGCGTACAAAGATAATACTGTAAAGAAAAATTGTCTATTATATGTTTGTAAATATTACATTTTGATGAATACTTGATTTCTTCCATAAGATTTTGAACACAAATGCCATTCAGTCTTTGTTTAATAATTGGGAAAAAAATTCTAGAACAAGCTCTATCTTGTTCACACAACATGTATCCTAATCCAATTTCATACAAATTTTCTTTAATACAAAAGGCCCAATTTTTCTTACTGTTTTTATTCTAGATCTGTCACAGTTATCAAAAAGTTAATCATAACAGTTTCTTATTATTCAATTTTCACTAAATTAAACCTTAATTGAACCAAAATTTGAGCATTCTATACAATCGAGTAATTTTCATAGGTAGCCTTCCAGTTTTCTAAATACACTGAAGCAGAGTTTGTGTATTTCCTTACGCCTAAAACAGATTTTTTTAACAGACATCTAATTGTCAGCATGCCCATTACTTAATTGTAAGTTTCCAAGATACACGCCCAATAATTTCAGTGTCAGTATAGAATGTCAAAAGAATATCCTTATTATAATATACATGTATTTCAAAAGTTGAAAGTAAAAGACGCAACTTTTAGAAGAAAATAATAAAGAAAGCGTTGAATATATAAACTAAAATGCCAAAGTGACATATACATGTAAGTAGGCGTAACCCAATCATCAGTTAATCTTAAAGTTTCACTTCACAGCATGTCCGGTATATTATGAACGAGTGTTACCATAAACCAACATTACCCAGCGAGCGTGGGTCTGTATCTTGTAAAAAAAGCAACATTGCAATTCTCGTTAACGAAAATAATCAGTTAATGGCTGATTAAATTAAAGACTGGAATTGGGAAGAAGAAGGTAATTGTTTTGTAATTACCATTTCTGTATACATTTAAAAATATATGACATTTTTTTTTTTTGGTTTTAATTCAAAGAGTAGATATGGAACTTTATGAAAAGCCTAGGCCTAATTAGATGGTTCTTAAAAAGTGCAATGTACTAATTTTAAAAGAATTCAAGTATTATCAAAATGAAATGAGCACATAACTTTTGTAATGAATTGCAAAACTGTAGACTTACTATGTTTAAGATTATTCAAATACTGGCACATACCAAGTTAATTTTTTATCTAACTTTTTCAATTTAAATATGCACTACTTTGTTTTTAGAAATTAATTATTAAACGCAGCACTGATTTCATAATCACATTAACGATGTGTCAAAATTTCAGCAATAATCAAATTTTAGTCTTAGTGGAAATGCACAATTTTATAAATGCATAGGAATACTGGTATCGCCTGTCTATATGTATAATTTGTTTTCGCCTTTTACATTTACTTTTAATTCCTAGAAGTGTTTTATATTAGTGTTAGGAAATAAATATAACGAGAAATATCATCAAATACCTTCCATTTCTGTCGCCATTTAGGTTCTCTACTTAAAACAAATAGTCTAAATAATCAAGGAAAGTCTTAACCACGAACTAATTGCAACAGAAACTATTTTATGAAAATTATTACCTTGCAACGTATGAACATTTGATTTTAAAAATGAGGTCCGATTACAGAGGTTTTGACTCGTGAAAGAACTCTGCACAGTATGGCGACTACGGTAATTGTTCAACAACCAACAGCAGCTGCTGTTCCCGATGATCGGCTAATGGTGACTGACATTAAAGGTCATAGAGAGTGGAGTACGGGGCTGTTTGACATCTTCTCCGATATCAAAACGAGTAAGTGTCAAAATTTCAACCACAACAAAGTTGTTCAATCGTTACATTTAATTTAGAGATGTAATTTTTTTTTCAATAATGTGATCATAGAGGCCCAAGGGCCTTAATGGTCTCTTGAGTATAACATAACCCTGTCAAGAATCCAGTCCCGTAGAACGTAGTATAGTATTTTAATATAGTAAATATTCCTTTAGATGTCCCCCACCACTTCTGTCAATAGAATCCTACCCTAGCACCATCCAAATCCGCTCACCCAGGGGCCATGAATTTCACAATTTTGAAGGTTCGTTTATCTGTTTGATATTCAGGAATAAAGTAGAAGATTTTGAAAACTGCATCAATTTGATGGTTTTGTCCCTATCCCTCAGGCTCTAAGGTAGGGGTGGGGAGTGATCAAGAAATTCACAATTTTTGTTCCCCTTTGCTCATAGATGATACAAACCAAAATTTGTTAGATGGTTAAGCGGTTCCAGAGAAGAAGTGAAAATGTTCAAATAATATCTGACGACTTACAACGCTCGACGACAGACGAAAATAGATCACCATCGGTCACTTGAGGGATTCAGATCTACTTATATTATATATCATATTATTTTTTTCCATGTTTGTTTGTTGTTTAATGTCCCTCTCGAGAAATTTTCACTCACTCGTATGGAGACGCCACCACTTGCCCGTGGAGAGCTGCAAATTTTGACCTATGCTCGGCAATCAGGGCCATTGAGGAGTGAGGGATCTTTTTCGTGCCAGCACCTACTGCGACACGGGACCTCGGTTTATACGGTCTCATCCGAAGGACCGGTCTCCACGTCCCACAGTGGGATTCGAACCCGCGACCTAAGGATCAACTCCTTACTCCGCGACTCTAGAGCAGACGCTTTCACCACTGAGCCACGCGGGCAACATTTTTTCTATGTTGTATATGTCAAATCACACATAAAATATTGCTGTAATTTTAGTTATAAAATATCATTTTAGATCAACATTTGCACTCAATCAAGATTCAACAATTGTGTATATGAAATAAAACAAACAAACAAAGAAACAAAAAAGCGTTACTGTAATCAATATCTTAATATCGTACAACTAATTTTCTTCCAAGACTCAGAAAGCGTTGTGTCCATAGATTTTTCACAAAACAGTAATTTCTTTGACAGATAAAGTGGGAATTTGTACTTATTATTCTCTTGTAAATCAGTTTGAAAAAAAAAACCCATTCATTTTATCTCGGCATTAAGAAATGATGAAGAAAACGAACATACTAATATTGTATTCATCAAGAACATAATTTTTGCTTGAAAACAGATCTAGAACTGACTTATTGAAAATCTTGACGGCATAGAACAATAAAGTCATGCTTCTAATGTATGGCATTTAAACAGGCTTACTTACATTCTTCTGTGAATCATATGTCAAGTGTAATTTGGCCACGAGGACCGGCGAGGGTGGCTGTATGCCTTTCTGTGTTACTGGAGCAATGACCATCATGAGGAGCAGAATAAGAACCATCGGGGGAATCAAGGTATTTCATGTCGATTGAAAAATTCTATAATCTATTACAATGTACAATGTATATGAAACGTTTTCCTTTAATAACGATAATTAAAAAAAACCATCAACCACAATTTCTATATTAAAATCATTTTTTTTTTAATAAAAAGTGTTTGTATATTTATGCAGGGTTCCGCATTTAAGGACTGTATGGTAATAACTTTCTGTCAACCATGTGCAATATGCCAGATGAATCGAGAACTTGACCACATGGGTGTTCCATAATTTTGAACAAAGAACTTTACTCTCTTTCATAACTTCTAATTTTTATCTACAATAACTGATATTTTTTTTCCTATCTGATTGTTTTTAATTCGAAATAAAAACAAAATTATTCTATAAATATTATTAACTTTAGAATAAAATTATGTGTACAATGATCATTGATTGCAACGATTCACATACAATGTATGTGAATCTTTGCAAGCAACAGTTTCCTGGAAAGAACAGAAATACTTCACTTAAAGATATGTGAAGCCATGAATATGACATAAAACTACAAAACAAAATCATCAGAAATACTATGAAATTGAACAAAACGTTAAATTGAGTATGAATGCATATGCTGCATAGCTTCCATAACAAGTAGCAAACAGGAATTCCCTTATTTTAAGCCTCTTCGAAAGGCTTTCGGGATGAATTGAAACCTTTGATCGAAGTTTTGTATTAGTTAAAATGCTCCGTAAATGTTAAAGCACTAAAAACCTCTGATTTCAAATAACATTTTTAATCATAATAAAAAGTAAACAAAACAAGGGCACAGCAAAGCGGAGCATTCCATCGCAAAGAGCATATCTATGGATCAAGGCAGTGTTCGACATCGATCCCAGTGCAAATTACGTCACCCTTTTCGCACATGGACAAAGTGACACACACACACAAACTAATACACATACATAAGCGCGTTACTATATCCCCTCCAACTCCGTGCGAGGGGATAACAAAGGGTTAATTAAAGCTCTCTGTTAACCAACATTTGTATGTATTCAAAGAAATCATTCAAAACAGGTTTATAAAAACTTATAAACTGAACATATTGGTGAGAACTATTAAACTGTGTCAAATGTTTTTCATCTGCACATGACATTATCATTCCTATTCTGTCATTAGCTTCAATAAAATTAAGATATTTAAAATCAAAACTCATGCACTGATACATATTGGTTACAACAGTTTACAATTACTTAGACAGGGGTTCACTGGGATATTTGACTGGGTACCGTAACTAAACCGTGTGTAATACGTCTGTGGTTGAATTGCTAACTGTCATGTCGAATTGCTACATGTAACTGTCATGTCATAGCCTTCTGCATTAAATTATTATCATCTCGAAGGTCTGCTTATTCCCCGAGAACTTTCAGTATACTCTATGACTAAGTTAAGTTGAATCACGATCACACTTATTTAATTTTCCAATAGGTGTGTGCTTGTTTTTGCTTGGTCCTTTTAATAGCATGTCTCAGAGAAAATCATGCAAAATGGTCCGAAAGCAAGTTTCTCTGATTGCCTTCAAACTTTGTGAGCCAAATCTAGTATGCATAAATAGAAATCAGACAAATTTTTATTGTGCTAATCAAACCCGTCTAAGTTGTATGGCCTGTTACTAAAAATAGCTCTTATGCAACAAAATTTGAGGTAATATTTTAAATTTTTAGTCATATTTAGAGGAGAAATAAAATTGCAAGTCTAAAAATTATTCAAAGAATTTATTTTGTAGTAAAAGTACAAAGGTTAGTTCTTCTTAGATGCATAGTCAGGATGATTGACATCCATTTTGTTTTAGTGCAAAAAGGTCATAAAATTGGCACTGTTCCAATTTTTGTAAAAAGTGACATTTTTCTGTAGAATTGAAATAACTCTACCAACCAAAGTGGATATTTTAATGTAGTTAATTTTATTGCTTATTGTAAAGGATGGTTATGTTAACAAAATATGAAAAAACTGCTGTTGGCAAACTTACATTTTAGTAAAAATTGAAAGACAAACTTTGTCAAATTTTCACATCAAAGATTTCAAGAACAGTTAGCGCTACTCATAAAATACCTAAAAACTTCTCCAAAAATACAAAAAAATAATTTATAGGTTTTTTATATCTGCATTTTAGAATTTAAACATTCATAACTCACAATCTAATAGATAATGACTTTGAATCCAAATAATACATCAAAAAAAAAGGGGGGGGGGTTGTATTTATGAATCTCCTATAATCCATTACATGGATAATGTACAAGCCGTAAAATACTTGTTTACTCAGAATAAAAAAAATCCATTGATGGTAATCAAAACTCAGCCATTGAATTACTAAGACACACGTATGTATTGATCACCTAACTTTTTGTTATTAGCCAATGAATTTATGGCATGAATTCACCATTAATAGATGTGATTTTTTAAACGTTAATATTTCAATCTTTTGACAATATTTTTTGAGAGCAGATAAATGAAACATTTCATCACACAAGTTTATCACGTTTTTATTTTCTGAAATTTCCTGTTTCACAATATTTTATGCATAAAAATTAATCTTTTTTCATTCAAATATTCAAAAAATGTGACTGGTGATTACTCTTATTGGTTGATCTTTACATACAGAAAGCACCATAAAAGAAATAAAAATATTTAAAAACACAAAGTACGTGTCAATGATCAAATTTTTGAGATATTTTGTTACAAAATAATCTAAACTTCCTTTGTTATTTTTCAATTTTATATGAGTAAACAAGTACCTTAATTAACTTAATACATGTATAGTTGTATACATACTTACTAAATATTTACAGAAGTAAACACATAATTCAGCAGATGAGTCATTTGATAAACATATTCATTTGAGTGTTTATTAAGCAGAAACAATTTCTGCAAATTTCCAATGCATCAATACAAACATTTTTTAAAAATATTTCAGACAAAAACTGCCTTTTTACTGCAGGAGGTGCAATGAATTGGATTTTTTTGACAAATGTGAGACAAAAAATCCTCTATTCTGTGAGCTACTTAACCATTCATGTCTTTAATAAAATTTTTCATCATTTGAATCTCTTACTTTCTTCAATTCTTCTGCCATAAAACACAATCTGGACAATTTACTATTCTTTCACATTCTTCACATATCACATACATGTACATGTAATCCTTCACTTTCTGGTAGAATCTTTTTCTGCATTATAATGCCCAACCAATTCTTTTTCCTGTTGACTCTCACTGGATTCCATCAATAACTGTTCCTGATAGGACACTCTACAGTTTGTATCAGTAAATTGTGAAACTCGCTAATGCTTTCACATTTTGTGGCATACAAATTTGCAGCAATGTTCTTACTTTATTTTGAATTCGTATACCGTAATAAGTGTTATTTCCAACTGCCAAATGTTTTTCAAGATTGCAAAATTTGCAAATACTTTTTGGCCTGAATTCAAGGACAAGGAATTTCCAGTAAAGTTAATATCGGGTCCACATGAAGGGCTCCCTGGCTGTCGTGTCCGGATACGGAGAACATGTGTACTCTCAAACATTATAGCCCATGTTCCAGATAAACTATATAAATCCTTACTTGGGGACTATGTTGTCTCCCCTGTATGCCTAAAACCTATTTTGTATTCATATGAAGCAGAATTTATTCAAAAGCTTCTACATGAGAAGAAGAAAACACTTGCTGTGGCCTTCAACTCGACATTTCGATATATCGACGACCTATTATAAATTAACAATAGTTACTTTCATTTATATGTCGACTCGATATATCACAGAGAGCTTGAAATAAAAGAGTCCACAGATTCTGACACATCTGTTTCATGTTTAGATATTTTACTAGAAAAAGACGTTGATGGTAATCTAACAACAAAGCTTTTTGATAAACGTGATGACTTCAACTTTTCAATCGTCAACTTCATTTTCTTATGTAGCAATATACCCATATTACCTATATATCGGGTTTATGTCTCTCAATTGATTCAATAGAGCATGCTCTACGCATGAACAATTTTTAAAACGAGGCAAGCCATTGACAAACAAGTTGATGAAACAAGTTTTACGGTCGATACAATGACCTTGTCAGCATATACAACCTATCATTAAGTCAAATGCTGACTGACGTTTTTCATACTTATTGTTAGGCCATTTATACATTGAACTGTCGACGGATTTTTTCTTTTTTTTTTTTCCCCGATCATGACAATTAGCACACGGCGGGTGTGACCGGTCGGCAGGGGATGCTTACTCCTCCATGGCACCTGATGCCACCTCTAAATTTTGAGGTTTGTGTTTGCTCTGCTCCAAATTTGTATCGTTTCATTGGACTTTCAAGATTGCATAATGTTCTTTATCTTCATATTTCATCTAAAATTTGCGGACAAGCAGACGGACGGACGGACAGGGCTAAAATTATATACCACCGAATCTTCGAATCTTCGGGGCATTAAAAATGAAATCGTAAAAACTAACTAACTAAAAAGATGCAAAAACAAGAAATTAGAAAAGACGGATGAATATAAGTTTTTTTTTTTTTTTTTTTTTTTTTTTTTTTTTTTTTTTTAGATCGATCACTATTTTTTATCTTCACCTTTTCACTTCTTTCTTTGATAAGAAATTTTAAATTTAGAAAGGATTAAAAAAGAAGTGTGGAAATCAAGATTAACCGACAGAATAAACATAAATATAATCTTAAATAATATCTTAAATGTCTTATGTCCGTCCGCTTTTGTTTCAAGAAGCGTTGAATTTTAAATAAGCGAAGAATTAAAAATTTATCATCGTAATAACACATTTTAATAATTGCCCTTATTACGTTCTTTATGTTTGACCTTTTTGTGTTGCGACAGATTGCACTATCTCTTACTTTGTCTTTCGAAAACAAATCATATCCAATCAAAATACTTAGGAGATTCTTTTTATCATATGTTTCTACCCATTAGATTTTTCTTCAGTTGCTTAGCAACGTCAACTAAAATTACGCCGCTATAAAGAGTGCAAAATAAAATGAAGAAAAAAGTGTGCTTTTTGAAATTAGGATCTCTCACTTCAATGATTTTCTTTTTTTAAAATATTTAGAATTCTACTTCATTCTTCCATGTAAAAAAACTACAAACAATACAAATCAAAACAATAGGACATAATACACGGACTCTGGAAATTCCGGAGGAAGGAGCAGACGTCTAAGAGGAGAGGAGTAAACAATTCCTGTCGACCTGAGGTAGAAGGAATATTCCGTAGTCAATTTGTATGAAATATGTCCGTCAGGATACGACCCAAGGATTGGTTGTATTTGCAGATATGGTCATT